ATTAGCAAGACAACACACTCCTTACACTATCAGATCAGAAATTTTTACTTTATGTTGGCATGTACACATTTTTAAAACTCATTTGACTTCTCTTTAAGCCTAGAATCGGCTAAACCTTAGCTATGATACCATTAACTGTAATACCCCCAACCCGTACCCGACCCAAATACGAGTTTGAGGTGTCACATTGACTTTTCAAACTTTGACTCTTGACAAAATTCAAAGAAAATTTAAAACTTTCATTAAAATAAAAGCGGTTTATTTACATAAATTGACCAAAATAATCAAAATCGATCAGAGCATATTCAACTCAATCAATTAGTACATGGCAATTATATTCAAATTAACCAAACACATTTAAATCATCTATTTTCTGATATGAACTTTTGTAAGGGAGATGCTGACTTGTCTTGCTCTTCTTCGCTTCTCTTCTCGCTTCTTTAACCTACATGTGAAACAATCACACGCCAAGTCTATGACTTAGTGAGGCATTAAATTTATACAGGAAACTCTAAATTATTAAACATGTATGAACATATTACTTCATGATGTCACACAATCATTATATATAATATAATGTACACATATACACATCACACATTATTTCAATCATTAATCTTATTCTATTATCCACATTATTATCATTTATATCCTTTAATCATACTTTTCATCAATATATGACTCATTCAAACCATACGCACATCATCATAACAATCATATAATACAGTTCATATCACAAAAACATATACTTCACCAGTACCACCTTCATTGTTATCTCTTTGTTTAGCCCATGTACACTTTTAAGAACTATAGATATGTGAGTCTATTGAGGTTGTGCACTAATTCTGTCACCACAACTCGTATAAATGCACCGAAGTGCCACGTAGAATTACACCGAAGTGCCGCATAGAATTACACCGAAGTGCCATATAAAATGTCCCTAAGGACCACATAGTAAATTCCTTAAGAATCATATACATATACAAAGGATCAATTATGTGTCTCAAAAGACATCATACATGTTCCAAGGAATACATATATGTCCCGAAGGACCGCGTAGACCCTCGACTCTTGGCATGCCAACTATATCCCTAGCTCTCATGACACATAACATGGTCATTATTATTTATGTCATTTCACGTATTCACATAGACACATAATTCACTTTCACCTTTCACGTATCTTAGGTCACATAACTTGGATCACATATACATATAATCACGTAGATCAATTTTACACAGCTTATATTAACTTTACACGTCATTTCACATTTCTTATCACCTTGTTTATATCTTATTCTTATGTCTTCTCATAGACATATATTCACATGTTCATATAGTTCATCATCTCATCATATAAATATGTACTCATTTTATTTCACATATAGTCTCATAATCACATATATCATATTTAATAACTTATATAATCTCATATAGCTTAAGCTTCATTTTATTATATTTACCTATATCATGTAATCTATGACATAAACATGTATCACTTCTATCATTTCACTTATATATATATATTAATCTAATCTATTTACTTAGTTCAATTTCATATACCTTATATGTCATAATTTTATTCAAGTACATGAGTTTTCCCCTTATAGCTTATCTTATATGTTCGTATTATTACTTATGTTCAAGCTTCCTAATTAATATACTATTCTCATTTCATTCTATGGTCAATCTTATTTAGCTTATCTCAATTCTTATTAAATCATATAATTCTAGTATACTAATGCATATAAATGATCACCTAACTATGTACTTACCCAGTTCATGTTTCTATTGTTCATATAACTTTTATACATGCTTACCCAATTCATATCGCTTCTCATAAACTCACTTATATCATATTCTCCTATTTTTACCGAATCTATCTTATAGACATATATTCACATAGTCTCATATTTCATTATTATATGAATTATATTTGATTCTCTTATTTCTCTCTATGTACATATATTTACACGTCTCACCATTTATATGTAGTTTACATTACATTTTCATATATCACATAATAGTATTTTTACATAAATCATATAGCACGTACAAAAACATATCAATACATATAATCATGAATACATACAAATCAGGAAATTCACATACTTATATTCATGACTTAATGCACTACAACTATAGGAATTAGACTTATCGCAAGTCCAATTTCCATATAATCCTATATTAAAATAAGATGCACTCATCTTGGCCTCACTTGCTATCAATTACTCCTATGGCTTTCTTTCTCTTCTTGATCAATTCTAACCTTTCAATCATTACGAAACTTGCTCTCGATCGATATCTACACAATCATGTATTTATACTATCAGTATCCCTTTTGATGTACTTAATATATCCTTTCATAAACTGAAATAACGATTTATTCCATTTCCCATTAAAATGCATCAATACATTCTACAGTGTATCGATGTATCCCTTAACATGTGCATCGATGCACTACCTATGCATCGATTCACAAAGCACCTTCGATGTTTTAATCTTAAGGGGGTGTATCGATGCACTCCCTATGCATCGATGCACTAATTGCATTCGATATTTCTATTTTAAAGGGGTGCATCAATGCACTTCCTGTGCATCGATACACACTGAACAATTTCTGGAAATTTACCCTTGATGCATCGGTACAGGTTGAATGTGTACCGATGCACACTAGCCCAGAATTCCATTTCGTGTACGAAAATCCACTCAAATCAACTCAAACACTTCATCTTTCATCCCCTTTCATGTTCTTAACTCATATACACATGCTTAAACCAATTTATATTCATATAAACCATATTTAACTTCAAAATTTTATTCCTCATATGTAACTCAAGAATTATACCAACTTTGCAACATGTTTTAATTCCAATTCTATGGCTTCTAACTTCTTAATTAGACCCTTGACAAGTCAAATTTAACTTCCAATTTAACTTATCAACTTTCATTCAAGATTTCCTTTAAAAACTTCTAATCTTTAATCTCTCTTGACTCCTTTATATTACGGTTTCAAGATAAATTAAGTTTTTCTTAAGCTTAATTATCATCTAATGATCAAAACACAATCTTAAATTCGGCTAAATATCAACCAACAAGAGATCTTACCTTTGCTTATGGCTTCACGTGAAGAAGAAGAAGAAGAAGAAAGGAGAAGAATAGAACTCTAGAGAAATCTCTCCTCTTCCACGTGGTTCCCTTATCTTATACAGGGAAATAAAAATCTTACTTGTCAATTGACCATTTTACCCTTTAATTCATTAAATAATTACCAAACAACCTTCAACTATATTTCCAATAAGTCATTAAATTATTTAACTATTCTACTTTTATCACCAAATTTCAAAAATTCTCATTTTAATCACTGACCCAGATTTCGGGATGTTACAATTATGGAAGCAAAAATTTTCAAATTCCAAACCAAAACATGAATTTCTTCCAATAATTATGAAAAAAATAAATCAGTGTAATAATTAAAATAAGCAAAAAAAAAGATTACAAATACATAAACATATAAAAGAGAAGTTTTTGAGCTTTTTTCTTCTTACCTTTAATTACAACAAGAACGAGAAAGAAACTAAAAGTGGAAAAAGCAAGCACAATAAGAAATGTGGGGGTTTTAATTGTGTCCAAAGCATAATTTGTTTTACCCAAGTACCCTTTTGCTTAATTAGTTAGTATTTGTCTAAAAAATGTTAGAACATATTATATATAAAATGTTGGAATACAATATCAATTGAGGGACTTAGCCCAGCGATTTTGGCATGCCCTTAAAGGGGTTGTGGGGGTGTTGGTTTGATCCACCCCAAGAGCAAGTTGAGAATTTTTAACATTTTATATCCAATAAGGTAGTGACATGTGTCACCACATGATTGGATACAAAATAAAATAAAATATATAATTAAAATTAATAAAATATCCTCCAATCTAGAAGTGGCACATGTCAACACCTAATTGGAGGTTAAATTTATCAAACTGAATTAAAATTATGACCAAACTGAAAGAATGTATAAATATCGAAGACCAAATGTGTAATTATACCAGCTTTATTAACTGACACACCATCACTTCCGTTAAATGTTAACGACTAATGATCTGGTTGAATGCATTTAAATAGTTGGATGGTCTGATTGACAAAAAATAAAAAATAGTGGTCAAAATGAAACAGGGCCATAATTGGGTGGTCTCTGGTATAGTTTACCAATAAATAAATCACATCAATAAAATAGGAGTAATACGAAAATAGAGCGATTAAATTAGAGAATTTAGAACTCTAATGACTAAAATAAAAGTGAGAGAATGATTGAATGATGAAAGGTGTTAAAAGATGATATCTAATAAACTCAAAGTTATATCTAAAAATTTATTCGATGCATTTTTGGGATTGTAGCAGCAAACAGAAAGAATTAAAAGATCCCAATGGGATAAATCCAACATCTTTCTCCAACTCATTAGATGCTTTCGTGATAGTAACAGCTCCAGATATGGTGATCCAATTCAAGCATTCCCATAAAAAAAAAATCAAATTTATGGATTGTTTAGAAAAAAATCAATATTTCCTTAATAGTCTGACGCACGAATCATTAAAATATGATCTATGATACAAGGCATAGAATGGTAATTCAAAATATTAATGTGTACCAAGAGAATACTTTTGTTTTTGATACAGATAAAGTAAAGATTTTGAAGATGAACGAGAATCAAACCCTGGAGTTGAAAAAAAAAAGTTAACGTTTCACAGTACAAACAACACGTAATCCGTATGGAAAGAGAGATTCGTGATGTTGCTCTTTCTTTTTCCATTTCAATGGTGAGAAAAAAGGGATTTGTTTGCTTTCATTTATGACCTAATCGAACAATTCTAAATTCCCCAGAAAAGAAGAGCTTTATTTTCTTGCCGACCAAACACCACGTACATTCCTCAAAAACCCTATAAAAACCAGTTCTTGTTGAGGATTCAAAGCATAGCACAATCACAGCTAACATCCTCAAGTAATATATACTTACCCTTCCACTTTAAAACCTTAGCTTTCATTTCTTCAACTCTTCCTTGCTATCTTTCGGCATTGTTTTCCACAATATCAAATGGAGAGAGTGACAAAGTTGGCTTCCGAGAAGCCCGTTGTGATCTTCAGCAAGAGTTCATGTTGCATGTCCTACACCATTAAAACCCTTTTTTACAACTTCGGGGTCGACCCTGCAGTTCACGAGCTCGATGAGATCCCTAGAGGACGCGAAATCGAACAAGCTCTCTCGAGACTCGGTTGTAATCCTTCCGTTCCGGCTGTCTTCATTGGTGGTGACCTTGTTGGTGGAGCCAATGAAGTCATGAGTCTTCATCTTAACAGATCCTTAGTCCCAATGCTTAAACGAGTGGGTGCCCTTTGGGTTTAACCCTAAGCTCCTCTAACTTGCACGATGAGGCACTAATAAAAATACGATCCCACTAATAGAATATGTATCGAGTACTAGTGTACTACTTTACATGACCCTACTAATTGAGGAAACTTCCTAGTGGGTATATATTATTTTTTTGGTAGTGTACTAATTATGGTTTTTTGAGTATAGTTATGAAGTTTATAATCGTCCTAATTAAGCATGATTATTGCTTTAAGTAATTTACTATTGTTGAGGAATCTGAGAGGTGGCCTTTGAGGCCTCCAACATGACCATACGGAAAAACCAATGTTTATTTTAGTGGAATCTGATCCAGTTATTCTATTTATGAGGATATGATCTTTCTATTGAGGATGTAATCTAGACAATTGGGATTGGAAGGTGAATTTTTGGGTAAATGTCGATTTAATCATAATCATTTACATTTTAATATATAAAAAATTAATTGGATTAAATTTTATTTGTGCAACAATAAACATGAAGAAGAGTAAAAGGAAATTAAAAAAGAGAAAATTTAGTAAAAAGAATATCCAAATAAAAATATCACAGCCTTAAACCTAAAACAAACCTAGCCTAAAAAAAGTAAAATAGAAAGAGGGTCTAAATATTCAGACTGTTCCACGAGGTTGATCAGAGAGCTGAAGCTCTGACGGCTTCTTCACTTGGTCTTTAGCTTTATCGTTTCCATTGAAGTAGAAGTAAGCATATAAACCCAATTGAATTGCCCCTAAGATGGATCCTAGCCCATTAGAAACCTGCAAAATGAGAGTTAATATTATAATAATTGTTAGAATATAATTATATAAATAATAATCGTTTAATAAAATAGATACCAAAATTTAACATGAAAAACTCTTTCAAAAAAATAACGGAAAAAATAGAATAAAATTAACTAATGTCGAAAAGAGAAGAATATAATTAAGAGGAGTTCTCATGGACAACCTAATATATAACTTTAATCAAACTAGATTTTTTAGTTTAATCAATTTTTTAATTTATATCCTTATTAATTGAGTTGAATTGAATTTGGATCAAATCTAACAATAATAATGATAAAATTATAATACTATCAGTTTAAATTAAGTTATATTTTTTACCAGGATGAAGATATCAAACTGGATGAGTGCATAAATGGTCCAACAGATGCCATTAGAGAAGCCAGCCAGCGAGAGCCAAAAAGGCATGTACTCCACACTCTTTGTATCGAAAACCTTTTTCCATATGGCCAAAGGTAAACCGTACATGATAATGTTGAAAACATCAGCTATAATTCCCACGAATAGAACTCTATGACTGTGCAGGCACAGCATAGCCACGGCCACAAGGATTCCTGTCAAAACTGCTTCACAAAAAGAGGGTACAGCCATCAAGAACCTACACAATTTATTCACACACAATGTAAGTCACCATAGGCATTCATTAAATATTAAAGAAAAGAAGGGTGTTTGATTCACATGTACGTACCCTTTTCTTGCGATCATTAGCATAAACGGCGTAGACGGATAAGTAGATAAGTTCAATGGCAAGGCCGACGCTATTGATGGTCAACACTAAAATGTTGTCATTTTTAACAATGGGGAGACCATAGAACATCCAGATGAGGCAGTTCATCACAGTGCCCAAGTAGGGATATGGCTGAAACTCCTCTACTGCCTTCTTCTTATATATTTGGTAAAACGTTGGCCTGCGTATATTCACAACAACTGTTAGCTAAAATTTCAAATTCAATAGAAAAAATACGACAAAGTGCTTGAAAAGGAATAGAGTGATTACACTGGCGAGAGGAAGAGACCGAAAGAGATGACATTCCCGATAATGCCGACAATGTTGTGAACAAGTCCCATCTTCAAACCTTAAGCTGTAACTAAAGAGGGAAGAGAGCAGAAAATTGTGAAGGAAGATGGCTGATTCCAAAGATTTCAAAGTTATATATAACGTTTGAGCAAGAGATTGACTAGGAATTTTAGTTGGAGTAGAAATTCAGTCTAAATAATTTTCATATTAAAAATTAAAACTATTATATAAGTAGAGGAATTGTAACCAATAATTGCATGTGTTTATGGCTACTACTATTAGAAGCTGAAACTATATATATTCAATTATTATATAATAAATAAGTTTCGACATCTCTGGTTCACGAGGATTTAGGATCTCAAGACTACGAGGGAAGTTAGCAGCATCCAATCAGCGACTTCAAAACCATGCAAAAACAATAATTTAAATGTAGTTAATTGAAAAGAAAAGTTGTAGGAGATAAAACTCTTGATTGTTTTAGATGATTTATGCGATGAGAATTAGACTCATTTTCCAACAAGGACTCAAGGAAAGCAAAATTATAATCGCAACAAGAGTCCTAATGGTTAATATACATAACGAGAACATCATGTGTTAATGAACGAAAATATTATGCGTTAATTATCCTTTGATTCTTGGATAATTGCCCTATAATTCGAACTTCTCATTTTTAGTGTGAATTGCTTATTTAAAATGTGTAAACATAAATGGTTAACACACATAAAAATATGTTTTCTACTTTCAAGCATTTTCGGTGACAGGAAAATGAGATGTTATTGTTCTTTGATCACTGTGTTACTATTTTAATCATATTGTTGTTGTATCCTGCTAGATGATCGACCAATGTTCTCCAACAATGTAGTAGCATACGAACACTTTCATTTGACTATTCAGTCATAATTTATTTTTGATTATTTTTGATTATTTGCTTTATGGGATCTTAACGTAGACTTATGGGATCTTAACGTTTTGTCTACGGGATATTACTTAAGGGATATAACTCCTCTGATAAACCAAATAGTAGTTGGTCATTAACATAATCTTTTACGTCAAACTACTGTATTTGCATGACCAAAAAAGATTGGTCCAAGTTGAAACTTGCAGTAGTAGTACTTGCAAACTATAAATTGATAAATTATGCATATGGGCATCTTAAAAGTATAAAAGGTATTTGGGTTTCAAATATTTTATACTACTAAACGGGACGGGATTATGACTTGGGATCAAATTAAGGTTCGTGAAGGAGCACGACTTTCGTTGCTTCTAGAATCGACGTTCATGGCTAACTTGATTCCTATATTGGATGGTCAAAGTTGATCTCGTACATGTGCTTCTTCCGCCGATGACGGTAAAACAAAGTGATCCAATGTAAGACTAAACTTTCGAGTATGTAATAATGGCTTTAGTGGCTCCTAGCCCTGGTATTAGGGTTAAAGTTTAGCCAAAGTGGTTCAAAGGATGTGGGCTTTGAGTTTTAATTTAGACCCAAGTAAAATGGGTTTGTAATTGGGTATGGGTTGCTGTTGAGTTATTTGTAATATTTGGGTCAATGTAAATAATAATAAAATTTTTATTTATTTATAATGATAATAATAACGAGTTAAATCGAATAAACTTTAGCTCGACTTGATAAGTTAGCGATCCCGAGCAGTTCGTTAATTTTTTTTATAATTTTTAATAGTTATCTATCAAAAAATTACTAATTTATTAATAGATAATAAAATGATGATAAATGGTTAATCTATTAATTTTTTAATAAATAATAAAAAAATACTAAATTATTAATTAATAATTATTATTCTATTACACCTAAAAATCAAATCCTAATTATTATTTTGTGGATTGTTATTTTAGAATTTAGACTTTGAATTTGTTACATATACTATTTTAATAATTTTTTTGACTATATTTATAAAATTTATAAATTTATGTTTATATTAATCTTTAAATAATATTAATAGATTTTACCTACAGTTAAAAAAATATGATAAAACTTTGATAGTTTAATGAGCAACGAGTTTAACTAACACGAGTCAAACAATAAGTTTTTTTAATGAGCTCGAATTAATTCAAACAATAATTTTTTTAAAACACGAAGTATTGTCTGACTCACGAATGAGTCGCTCGAAAACTCTATTCGCTTACTGCTAGCTTTCTGACCCATTTTTTATAATTTCTCATTTAAAAGGCCTAACTTCGTTTGTTTTAGAGTATTTATAATATGTATTTTAAAGACTTTTCAACAATCCATTAAGATTGAACAATTGTATGCGTTCTTTTTTATTATTTTGTCTTTAAATTGAGCCTATAAAATATGCATTTATCAGCTTTTAAAAAAAAAAGGTATACATTTATCATAATAATTTCTCTCTTACCTCCACTACACGAAATTATTTCTTTTGCTTCTACAGTATTTTTATCGCCAGATTATAACAAAAAAAAATCAGCTTCAATTCTATCTTTTTGGAAAAAAAAAGAAATACCAATAAATTTTTGTTTCGATATTCAAGTGTACAAATTTATTTGTACTATATTATCTAAAATGACGGTTTTCATCTTAAGATTTATACTAATCAAAATAGATTTATTTCTAAAATAATAGACCAGGTGATAACCCATTTAAATTTGATTTTAATTTCTTTCAAATCATATTTTACAACCTTTTTTTCAATACTTTGTAGTGTGAAGTGCAATTTACTTATATTCCAATTTGATTTTTTTCATACTCAAACTAAATATATCGATATAAATTATTATTTCATTCGATGCTAAATTAAACTTTAAAGTTGAAACGGTACTTTTTCTTCTTTAGCAAAACTCTTGGTTAATTACAGCAAAATTATCTAAAAAAATAATTACAACTTAGAACTTTTAAGTAAATATTATTCTCGTGTTAACTGATGCACAATAAGGATGCTTCTTTTGTTTTGAATAAAAGGAAAGAAAACTGCCAACAAGTGTTGGCACAAGTGGTTGAGATTTATGAATTTGAGCTTGTAAGGTCAAGTTTGAATCTCACCACCGTCACTCTTGGTGGACAATCTGTAAAGTCCTATATAAATTTCAATTGAGTCTTATGTATGCCCTGACCCTGGACTGAGAGAGCTACCCCTGACCTAAACTTTTATGTACCAAAAAAAAAGGAAAGAAAACTAACTTAGAATATTCCAATACTCATCAAGTTCCCCATTAGTTAGGCCTAACTAACTTTGTAACAGACCCGGTCTAGCTAATTAGAATATTCCCCCATTAGAATACTCTAATGTACACTAATATTCTTCTGGTTTCTTATCCTCCAAACATGCTTGAACTTCTTCAGGAGATCTAACTCCAAGTTGAGATATCAGATGAGGAAAATTTGCTCGAGCCACAGGTCTAGTTAAGATATCAACATTTTGTTCACTGCTGGGAACATAGTTAACCACAAGTTGTCCAACCAAAACTCTTCATGAACAAAATACATGTCAATCTCCACATGCTTTACACGAGCATGATGGGTAGGATTTGCAGCTAGAGAAACAGTAGAAGTGTTATCACACCAAGCAACTGGTTTACCAAGGATAGACACACCAATTTCCTTAAGCAACTGTTCTATCTAGATTAAATCAGATACAACATTTGCAAGTCTCCTGTACTCAACCTCACATGTGGATATTGCTACCACACTTTGTTTCCTGGAAATACAAGCAATAGGATTCCCCCAAGATAAATGCAATAGCCTGATGTGGATCGCCTATCCTCAACAGTGGCTGCATATTAGAGTATCTAGAATACACGATTGTATTCTAGAATATGCAATGTGTGCATATGCTCTTAATATGAGCATTGTGTGTGTGAGTGAGCTGTTAAAGTTTGTTATGAATGTTGGAGTCTGTTTTGAATCTGTTATAGAGGTAGAGTAAACTTGAAGGCACAGCTATTATATAAGCTGGTGTAATGCAGAGTATTAGTTGACTATCAATAAAAAGCTTCATTCGGTCATCTCTTCCATGGAAGCATTCTCACATAGTATCATTCGCCAAACGTCCTGACGTCATTTTTTTTCTTCCGCTGTTTCCATTCTTCATTCTGTCATCGTTTACTAAACGAGATCAGAGTCTCGCTCACTGCTATGCCTTCCGCTATCATCGTTGCGGTGTTCGGATATTCTGTCATCGTTGTTATGTTAAGTCATTTATGCCTAGTACTTCCTCTGATGTACCGTTATGAGGTTCTTCTACATTCTTGCTTGGTATGGTTTCCGTTCGTTATAGCTAGCAATATTGGAGTCGTGGAGATGTTTTTTCGGTATAATATTTTGGCTCTCGTTGGCGGTGCGCCAACTAGAGTTATGATCTGGGATGACCGCCAGAATCGATGCATCGGGGAGCTTTCGTTCCGTTCTGAAGTGAGATCAGTTCGACTCCGGAGAAATCGAATCGTAATCGTTTTGGAACAAAAGATATTCGACTATAATTTTGCTGATTTGAAGGTTTTGCACCAGATTGAGATTATCGCGAAACCAAAGGGACTCTGCGCTGCCTCTCAGGGGTCCGGGTCCTTGGTTTTGGTTTGTCCTGGATTATAGAAGGGACAAGTTAGAGTTGAGCATTTGCTGCTTGTAAGTTGTTTGACAAAATTTCTGAATGAGTTTTTATGTGTGCCAATGGATTTGTTTCAGGAGTTAATTTCTGCAAATATGTTTGAACCGAATTCTGCGACTCTTGTTAGTGTTCTTTCTGCCTGTGCACACTGAAAGGATCTCCAGGTTGGAAAAATAATCCACGGATATATTCTTCAGCATTCTTGCTTATATGCAATTACACCAGTGTCAAATGCCCTTGTTAGTTTTTATGCAAAATGCAATGACATAAGAGCCGCATATCAGACATTTCTGATGATTCCTTGGAGAGACTTGGTTTCAAGGAATTCTATTCTTGATGCATTTGCAGAGTGTGGATATGATGCTCAGTTTCAGGGACATTTAAATTGCATGTTGGGGGAAGGATTTAGGCCAGACTTCATCACTGTCTCAGCTATCATACAATTTGTGTCCGCGTTTCTAGTCGAA